ATGATGATGATGATGATGATGATGTTGATGATGGTGATGATGATGATGATGATGATGATGATGATGATGATGATGATGATGATGATAGATAAGTCCAACCACCCATATGTTTTTATTGCACTAGGAAAGAATTGCCAAGTTCCATGGCTCCCAGTGCGGTTTCTGCACCCCTGGTATAGTGATGTCCATGTACACCTTGCTGAGAAACAACCCGAGGCCCACAGTGCGGGAGATGGAGAAGTACTTCGACGGTTTGTGCCTTAATTAACAACCATTTTCTCAATATGAAATGAAATGAAATTTGACTGCTAACTCAGCCCTTTTCGTCGCTGCATCATCAGCCAACACCCCAGACTATCAGTCTTTTTTTCTTTCTTTTTTTTTGTTGTGTCTTACGGCGTCCGCAACTGCAAAAGACCATATGAGCGCACGGGACACATTACACAGTTTCAGTTGGTGGGAAATTTTGAATTTTGCCCGGGTGGCGGCCGAAGCCTACTTTTATCGATTACTCCACCAAGGGATCTTTAACGTGCACACGGGACCTCCGATATTTTCCACCCTTGTCCGAGAAGGCTAGCTGGTGTAGATCTTTCCTACCAGAAGATCAGGGGTGTGGCTGAAGGACAGCAGTAAAAAGAGCCAAGGAGTAGCAGTAGAAAGGCATCAGAAAGAGTCGGGAGCCCAGAGGAGGGGGCAAAAAAGGTGTGGGGGGTAGGGGCAGAAAGTGGAGACGAAAGCAGACGACAGAACATTCCTAGAGGGCAGGAAAGAATGTGATAGGAGACAATTTTAGAGAAGAAAATTTTTACATCGCGCCCGGATTCGAACACCTGACCTTTGAATGAGAAGCGAATACCTTAACCTTTAGGCCACCAGAGCCTCCCATTTTCATAATATGAAACGAAATTTGGCAGCTAACTATCAAAATTTTGTTAGTACTTTTGATTTCTAGTTTGTTTTGCTCTTTCTTTCACATCAAACATCTATCTCTTCTACATTTCCTCCTTTTTTTGTGTATGTTACTCTCTAGTATTAAGACCTTTAATCTTCGACTCGGGTTTTTTCGCCCCTTCTTGCCCACGCAGCAGTAATGGGTACCTGACTTCGAGTTGGGGATGTAAAGGCGGCGTTGAAAGGAACTGGCCACCTTACCACAATATGACGAAGGCACAGGAAGCTGTTTCAATAACAAGGCAATCCCCAATGTCCGGATCGGATGCAGGAACAACTTTTTAATCTCGACACTTCTACGACTTATATTTGTGTTGCAAGTGTAGTAAAACTCTTACTAAAACTAAACTAAAACGATGTGATAAGCATTGAAAAACAGATTTGTTTTCACAATCACTACAGGGAATCTGTGCCGCTGCACCGGCTATCGACCAATCCTCGACGGGTTTCGAACTTTCACCAAGGTATGTCCTAATCAGCTTTGACTTATAAGTATTCTAACAAACCTAGATTGTGTGGATGGTTAGCGGGTGCTCTGGTGTAGTTGGCTCCTTCTTCCCTATCAAACATTTACCTCTGCCTTCTTTTTTTTGTATACCACTTCCAAGCAACACATCTAACCCTCCTCACTTGTATGACCTATATGTGTCCAAAGTGCCGTAAAACTCTTACTTACACTAATATACATTGGTTCTTGTTTTGTGGCTCCCAGGGCTGAGCTGCGCAGCTATCACGATGTCACACAATTAATGGGGATGCTGATAACTAAACTGGTCACGTGATGAATCGACTGGTTAGGTCACGAACTGACTAGTCACGTCATGAATGAACTGGTCATGTCATAAATGAACTGGTCACGTGATGAATGAACTGGTCACGTGATGAATTTACGAGTCTCGTCATGAGTAAACGGGTCATCTCATGAATGAACTGGTTACTTCATGAGTAAACTGGTCACGTCATGAATGAAATGGTCACGTCATGAATGAACTTGTCACGTCATGAATGAAGTGATTACGTCATGAATTCATTGCTGTTTCTCTCCAGGAATATCAGTGTCCAATGGGAGAGTCGTGTTGCCGTAATGGGGCTGACACAGTGCTGGATGACGGACAGGTGTGTGTGTGTGTGTGTGTGTGTGTGT